CTTGCCTATTCTCATTCTCGTCAACCGAAACTTCTCTATTATCTGATAATCTCTAAAATGAACAAATTGTGCAAACTTTTTTTAATTAAACACGTGAAGGATATAACATCTTTTATTTATTAAGAAAAAAAAAAGAAATTTTTTGTTAAATTCAAATATGTCCAAAATATTGATCAATAAACACATGATATTAAATACACTTACAACTCTTACACTAGCACCAAAAGTTTTTGCAGGAAGGTTAGTTCTAAACCTGGCTTTTACTACTCCACCATTACCATGAGGTCTATATATGTATATATATATATATATATTTGTGCGTGCTTTAAAAATAAAATCCCTGTCTAATATAATATATTTTCACTAATAAATATGAAAAGCTACCTTGAAACACGACCCCAAATTACACGAATCTTGCTACCATTTTTCTTTAATTTTTCATTAAAGATTAAAAAATCTTATTAATTCACAAGTTATAAGAAATGCACCCAAACATTCAATGCTAAATTATTTTTAACTTACCTCACGCTTAGCACGATATACAAAAGCAACACGTTTCCCAAGATAGAACTGAGTCTCTTCTTTCGTAGTTACTCCTTCAATTTTAACTAATGTAGTATTTGGTGATTGATTTCTTTTTGCCCGTTTAAAACCAAGGATACGGCCTTTAGAATAAAGTCTGTTTATTTATTTTAAAATTAATTACATATCCTTGATTTCTTTTCTTCCCTCCTAATTTTTTTATAATAAAAACAAACCTAATCGATTGACAATTTCCCGGCATTTTGAAATTGGGTCAAATATTGATTTATTCAAAAAATTCAAAAAATTTTTTTTTAATCTACACTCAGTTACACAACACAAGATGATTTGGGGGTGGGGCAGTATGTCAATCAATAGAGTCGCACGATTTTTGATTTGACAATCATTTCAAGTTCTCTCTAAATCAGAACAAACCAAAATATTGGTACTGTTGTAAAGAATTTTCTTGAAAATTATGCTAAAGTTCACGAATTATCAAGTATAATAAGCAATGTCATATTCTTACACAGACACTTTCTTGTAGGCCTTGAAGGAAAAGATGATTTTTTGCCTCTCTTTTTTGGTATGACTGGCCTTATCCATTAAGTTTTGCAGAGGCGATCGTTCGAGCATATTAAACAAAAGAACCCAAGCATACCGCATATGAAGTATTCCCTAGAGTTGTATCGAAAATAGATTTTGAAAATAATTATGATTGTCCGTGATCCTATTAGAACTATATGTATAAATTAGAAGGTATTTACGAATTTTGTTACCAACTCTGGAAAATAAAACGGTTCGCTTTGTTTTTAAAAGTCGTAATCAAAACTTTGGTGGAAAATTTTGATTGTTACTTTTGCAAGGTAGTTACAAAAGAGTAAAGCTCCGGTAAAGGTATCGATTCGGTATAGAAACAGATTACATTGTTGTTTCGGTATAAAAACAAGGGAACGTGATATATGACCTCGGCTAAAGTGCTTTAGTTAAAAGGCAATTTTAAAATAGAACGTTAACATTAGACGGCTAAAAAATGACACAAATAAGCCAACATATTCGAGCGTTTGAATAAGGTCAGCTTACAATTGGTTAATAAATAAATAAATCGTGCTAAGGATTAATTAAAGGCACCAACATTTAATAGATAAGCTAGTCGGAGATCACGGTTAAAATTTTTTTATTTATACAATTTTTTTGTTTTTTTTTTGAAACAACCGAGTTTTATTTTTTTATTTTTTTATTGATTTTTTTCTCGACGACCCACCAGGAGAGACACAAATCAGATTCTTCCGACATTGAGAGTTTGTTGAATGAGAATGCCCAGTATAAATTGATTTATATATAAGTTTTTGAGTGTATCCACACTTGAATGAAATACATTATGGATTAGATAATAAAACATTAGAGTTATGAAAATATATAATTACAAAATAAAATTAAAAAAAAGTCTATTAAATTATTATTGATTATTTTTGATTCAGTTGTCGTTATTGTTTTGGTTTTGGTGTTGGTAATGGACGTCCTCTAGGCACATGACTATATTCCTGACTTATTGTTAACGCAGGTTCGTTAAACTGATAATCTTGAATCGGCAATGGTGGAGATAATTGTTTTCGCATTAATAAAGTGAGACCTGAAGGACCTGTGGGAGAAGATACTAAGTCATCGTTTCTTTTAAAAGAATTATCGGATAAAGTTTGATCGGATGATGGTGGTATCGGAATTGCCATAGTTCTTGATGTACTTTTATGTTCCTGTTGTCGTTGTTGTAGCTGTTGTAGTTGTTCGTAACTGGATCCAAAAGGAACGATGGGCTTTGGATGATGCGATTGAGAATGCGGAGAAGCATTAATTATTTCTTGTGATTTGTTTAAATGAGACCACGGTGAAGAAGAAGCTTCTATCATTTTTGAAGCCTCATTACTGTTATTATTATTGTTATTATTATTATTATTATTATTATTATTATTATTATTATTATTATTATCAAGTAATGCTGGACTGGAAAATTCAGGTGAGCTATCATTATTTTGATTTTCGAGCCATTTTTCAATATTAGAAGAAGGGTCAGGCGGTGATGGAATAAATTCATATTCGGAAGTAGGAGGAGACATTTGATCATTAAAAATCCCAAAACCTCCGAATTTCGACGATGAAGGATTTCGATTTAGTTGTGTAATATCATAAGGTCTATTTTGTAATTGACCTTGTTCCTGAGTAGTGAAAGATAAATATCTTACACGATCAAAAGCTGGTATATATGCATAAGGAGAAGCAGGAGCTAATGGAGGGGATTTGTGAATTAATTTTGAAGGACTTGTAGGAGACATTTGTTTAGGTTTATTAGCAATATTTAATATTGATGAAGCGAATGAACCAAGTTTTTTCGGGCTTGCAGATATAAATACAGAGCCAGGAGATGATGCTTTTGGTGAATTTTTCCCAACACCATCATTTTCAACATTTGACCATGGAAGTATTCCGCTGCTGCCTTTTTTAGAGGGTATATTTACAGGTGATGATACCTGACCAAGAACTTCGTCGTCATCTTTTCTAAAATCTTCGACAAAAAAATCAGCATTTTCATCAATCATATTATAATGATTTGGAAAAACATTCTTATCGATATTAGCGATTGGTGGTGGTTGCGATGATGAAGAATGTGCAATAAATACAGGTAGATAAACAATGAGATCCTTACTAAAAAGGAAATCAATAATTAATAAATTTTGTTTTTGTTTGTTCCGTATATATATATATATGTGTGTGTGTGTGTGTATGTACAAATAAAAAAAGTTCAAAATAGTTGCTAGCTTACTTAATTAGATTAATACACATTTTATCCCAGTATCGACGGGCGGATGAAATATAAAAAGTGATTATTGTCCAGTAATTATCTTCTTCGCCTATAACTACTCGAAAAACTTGATTATTATCAGGTATTTTCTGTTGAATAATGAAACAACCGGGTTCTACACCCCTACAACGTTGGGTTGAGATATCACCGTTTCTATATGCAATTAATATTCCTTCGATATGACTTGGTTGAAATCTTCTCGTATACGTGTGAATTTTTGCTTCTTTTGTCCAGTTAAATTGTAAGAATGAATTTTCAAGAACTATTGACCACAACCTGTAACTAAGATTGAGATTACTCATTCAAGTAAGAGCTTGTAAGATCTTTCTCTTATTTAGTCTGTTATGTAATGATCATCAGTCATATGAAAGGATGAGGTAATAAGATAGTAATTATAATGCAAATAAAACAATCGGTGATAATAACTATATTTTTTATTACTTAATAAATCTTGAAGATTGATTCTAACTCGTACTGCCCATTGAATAAGTTTTTCATCCCGTTTTACGATAGACAAGTTGTCATATGATCTTTCGATTTTCTCAAATTCTTCAACATAATAAATAGGATGATAATTGTTGATGTATGACACAACATACTTCATATCATATCCAGGACGATTATTAAAGGGTTTGGGCAACGGTCTTTGTTTGTTACCGAGAATAATAGTGATATCTATATCTAAACCGGACATATTTAGCATAATAAGTTTAATGGTTTATATGTGATTTATTAACCTATACTCTAATAATAATACATTGTTATACTGATATTACTATTACTTTACACATTATGAAAATATATTGAAACGAGGGTTATACTGTATTTCTTTTACGAAAACAAAAACGTTTACGTTTAACAAAAACCAAAAATTAAACCTTTCTTTCCACCAAAGCAAATAACCAAAACCGAGTCACAAAACCTCAGAGTTCTCTACCACTCTGATAACCAAATGGACAATTAAACCCTACTCTTTAATTTCCGACTACAAAAATGTTTTGCAGAAATGAATTAATTAACAAAACTTTTGAATAGTCTCAAAAGCCTCGCCCTAAACCTTTAAGTAATGATTGGTCGTCTATATTATTACAAGCTAGTAAAGAAAAAACAGTAGCTGATTTTGCCTTCTCATCGTTGAAAATAGATTTCTTTAAAGAATCAACCAAAGACTTTTTAAAGTGTAAAACCACCGAAAAAAAAAAACAAAGATTCTTGTTTTACTAAAAAAATAAAGTCTATAGATATTTCATCCTATCCTTTTTAAAATAACGAGTCACAAATTTATTTCTTACGTTAATTAAAGTCACATGACATGGAATTAACTTTGATTTACATCAGCACTTTTCAAAAAATTTTTAGTAAATTGAGGCAAGACAAAAGCAGCTTTATGAATTTCTGAATTATAATACTTAAATAACTTGGCTTCTTCTTCTTCTGACCAAGTTCTAATTGGTTTTCTAAAATCAACGTTATCATCTCTTCCACATAAGATGAAACCAATTTGACCAGAAGGATATGTGGGAATCGTGGTGAATGCATAATCAACTACTTTAAATACTGATCTACAATATCCCTGAACTTCAGAGATTAATGGAAGATGAAGCCATTGACATTCACCTATCATCATCATCATTATTGTTAAGAATGATTGATTGATTGATTGTTAGTGAGCGAATTAATTAATGATAGATATATAATTTTGTTTAAGAATAGCCAGTTAATTAGTCAATTATTTGGTTGGTTGGTTGGTTGGTTATTCAGTTAGTTAGTTACCTTGAGTAGAAATAACTCCGCCTGGACGCAATGCATTTTTCAATAACCCAAAATATTCTGCTTGAAATAATGATTCTGCTGGACCTATATTTTATATATGTAATATATTATTAATATATGTGTGTTATAATTACAATATTTATTTTTATCACACTAACCAACAGGGTCAGAGGAATCAGTAATGATGACGTCAAAAGTATTTTGTTTGTCTTTTAGATAAGGAAATCCATCGCCAATATGAATAGTAACCCTTGGATGAGAAAATCCAACTGCCATATCTGGAAGATACTTCTTGGATAATCTAATTACTGCCTAGATAAATCATTATATATAAGCATCTGATTATTTACCAATATATTTTATAGATATATTTACAATGGAACTCTTAATATTGATAACCTGGATGGAAATGAAATTTTTGAACTTCTTGAAGCATGTGATGAATTAAACTTTAATGAATTAATTAATGACTTACAGGATTATTTGATTAATGAAAAAAAAGAATGGGTTAAACAGAATTTAATCTATGCTCATAAAATTTCATCAGATCATCAAATGTTCAATTTACTTCAAGATTTTTGTAGTAAAAATCCAGAATTATTTTTTAAATCTAACGATTTCAAAGATATTGAAAAGCCTATGCTTATAACTATATTAGAAAAAAATAACTTAAATTTAGATGAAATTGATATTTGGGATAGTGTCATTCAATGGGGAAAATATCAAAATGAAAAATTAGACAAAAATGTTTCAAAGTGGATGAAGGAAGATTTTATCATGCTGAAAAATATATTAGAAGATATTATTCCACTAATAAGATTTTATGAAATTTCTTCTAATGATTTTTATGATAAAATTGAATGTTATAAAAAAATTTTTAGTAAAGAAATGTATGAAGAACTTTATCAATACCATATCACTCATAGATGCCAACCAAGGTTTATACTCCAAAAAGGTCCAAGGTCAAGAGCAAGAATGGGACAATTATTAAATTTACAAATGAAATCTCTAATTTCAAGTTGGATTGATTACAAAAATGATCTATATAATGAAAACGATATACCTTATGAATTTGAATTAATTCATCAGTTCACTCAAGATGGATTTTCTA